TAGAAAAAAAACGTATTTTTTCTTCCTAATTTTAATATCAGTGGTGTTAATCATTTTCGATGAGGCAACAATTTCCGAATTATTATTTTTAAATCAGCAGTATAAGTCAAGTATGTTAGAAAAAACTATAGAATTTTTGTAAATTTTAGTGTATCAGTATAGTAACGTAATTTTTTAGCCAGATAATTTTTTCTAAATTTTCTGTTTTTTAGTTTGCGTATAAATAGTTTTTGTCAAATTTCAATTTTATTCCTTCATCTTTGAATAACGAAACGTGGCTATTTGTTATATACTAATACAATAAAATATAATCCTCTTATATTTTGTTTTTCACATCGTGCGTTATACGAGATTAAACTCTCAATATATATATACGCAGTTGCTTTTTAATATTTATCTATATATCAAGCAAACTCTCGCAATACAATGATGCTGTTAACAGTCTGATAAAAAAACGATCATGTCACACGGTATAATTGTCAAATATTTAAAAAGTGTGAAACAAAATTCAAAATCTATCATTGAAAATTTCAAGTAATATAAAACAAAAATTATATCTGATATTTTCTATAAAAAATAAATATTTTTCAAAAAAGAGAGATTTTTAAAAATCTTTTAGAAAATTACTTTGAAAATTTCATTTTGGGAAGCATGAATATATTTTCCACACTGAATTCGTGGGAATTTCTACGGTTTCGAAAAAGCTCGAAATGCTATACATGAATCTAAACGAAATAAATGCACTGATACAAACTTAACCAAGTGTTTGGTTAATTCAAATAACTCTGGTATTTATTCAAAACAATCAAATTAATTACTTATTTAAAACTATATGTAAAGCATTTAAATTCAATTAAATAATTTAGTTAAACGAAACAAATTTAATTGTGTATAAAGTAAATTATTCTCAACTAAACAATACATCTAATCAATGACACTAATCATGTTAAATGAATCAAAGTATATCCAAGTTGTGAAATGTGTAAACAAACATGAAAATGTAAGCCATTATTGATTAATTTGTAGCCGCCTTTTTTTTAATGCAAAATAAAAAATTTTATTTCTCTCTGTGGAAATGGAAAATTGATACATAAAACTACAGAATGACATCTTATTTAACTAATAAAGTGAAAAAAGTAAGTATAGGTAATGCTTTCTTAAAAAATAGCGCGCGCTTATTTGAAATAATATATTTGTCTCATTTTCATGTTTGTTTACATTTCACAACTTGGACTTAATAAACTTTTAGAAGCCAAATAAATTCCACAGGTATTTATTTCACTTTAATATAATATCATCAAATAATTTGTATTAACAAAACTTTTTTACTGTTTCAAATAATGTAGATTAAATAAACTGTTTTTGTTAAATCAAATAAAGTGAATAGTGCGCGCTTATTTGAAATAATTTAATTCAAACAATCAAGAAACTTTAACTTTACAGGATTGTATTTCATTTGATAAGTTGTATATTCTATTTTATTCATTCTTGTGAATTTCGTTTGAAACATAATTTTATGTCAAATAAAGCGCAACAAAATAGAAAATTGGAAAAAAAAGGAGAAATAGTAGTATACTAAAACATGAAAAAGCTAAACTACGAGAAAATTTAAAGAGAATGAGAGAACAAAGAAGATAAAGAAGAGAAGAAAGAAGAAGAAGAAGAAGAATAAGAGGAGAAGCCGAAATGAAGCGAGACGAGGGTGGCAAAAATTCCCAAGAGTAGAAAACGGAGAATTGTTAGCGCGCGGGGGTTGGAGGAGGGAACTTGCAATAGAGTAAAAAGGTACAAAAGGGCAAAGTCTAACTTCGCAAGGGAAGATTGTTTTCATTCGGGAATTAAATTGAAAAGGATTACAGAAATGCGCCACGAAAATTTATATTTGTCTCGACAACCACTCTCTTTCAACATTTTCACATTTCAACCCCTCCTTCTATATATATATATATATATATATAAAGCAAGTGCCTACTCCACAAATGTCATTAAACAATTATCTTGCGCATTAATTACACAATTTTCAACTGCCTCTTCGCATTTTTTTTTCTCTCTTTTTTTTAAAGTGAATTCTGCCCTCATTTTTTTAATTGTGTGTCAAGCACTATAGGAACATCATCTTTTTCAACAAAGTAAATTTCATGTGCTAAAGCAAATAAACTACATATTAGATATAGTCATTTATGTAATTACCATATTATATATTATTTTTTTTTCATTAATTAGAATTTTTATTTTAAAGTATTTTATTAGAAACAATTATTTTTTAGACGAATTTTCAATTTTTAAATTAAACCGAATTTTAATTTACCTGAATCTTTATTTGTACAAATTTTTAATTAATAGAATTTTTAAGACGCCGAACATTCATCTGTCCGAAATTACAAATGACCGAACAAACAATCGACAGAAAGATTTCTGCTCAATTTTTGAAAATTTACCAATCGCAGGATATTCTTGATAATTTCTAATTGGTCAATTTTCAAAAATTGCGCTAAAATCTTCCTGTCTATTATTTGTTCGTCCATTTGTAATTTCGGACAGATGAAAGTTCGGCGTCTTAAAAATTCTATTAATTAAAAATTTGTACAAATAAAAATTCGGAAAAAATAAAATTCAGTGAATTAGAATTTCTGTCATTTAAAAATTTGAATCACCTAAAATTCGATTGAATGAGAATTCTGTTAAATTCAAATTAGCTTAAATTAAAATTCTTTTAAATAAAAAATCATGTAAATTAAATGACTGTAAAATAAAAATTTTTCCAAACAAAAATTCGGTAGCTAAAAATTTGGTTAAATAAAAATTCGTTAGCTAAAATTATGATTAAATAAAAATTCGTTTAAAAAGAAATTCTATAAAATGTTAACAGAAAAAACTTGGACTCATTTTTGTTGCAACTCATTTTCTTTTGGGTATCGAAATGAATATGGGACAAACTTCATGTTATTCAAAATGATATTGGCTGGAATTTCAGATTTCTAAGTTGGCATCATAAGCAGAGTAATTTTGTATTTCAATTATTGATTCTAATATTTCAACAACACCAGAAAGATTATTTTGACCAGTACGAATATTTAGAAGTTTTTAAATAAAAATTATTTATTATTATTTACGTAGATAATAATTAATTTCATAAGTTTTTAAATTTACCGCTATTATTTAAGTTGGCAGTACCGTTCCTGTTGTCAAAACACATGTTTTCATTTTTCTAACCTAAAAACATATTTCCTTTATTATTTTATTACGCGATTACAAGCAATTTTTAATCAAATATATTAAGTCTAGCGTGTTATTTACTTCTTTGTAATTATTATATTTCATGTTTTTGTGCAAAATTATTCGTTATTTCACAATATTTTTCGATTTTTCTTTTTCTCAAAATGAAACTTGCCTGTTTCATTTTGATACTTTTACCTTAGAACTCGAAATGAAACAACCAGTTTCATTTTTGTTGCGAATCAAATTGAGTATAGAATCTATACTCAATTTGAATTCAGGTTTTTTCTGTGTTAATTCGAAAAATAACTCATCTAGAATAAACAGTCCGCCATATTGGATTCGCTATTTTGTATTTTTAAAAACTAACATCGGATTTGTAATCTGTAATTCAAATGACGATAACTCAGAGCCAAAATAAGATTTTTTTCAAGTTTCAAAATGTATTTTAAAGGGTTACAATAGTACTTCCAGATGCTATAACTATCTTTTTGAAAAAAAAATTATCTCTTGATGTTACGTGACCTAAAATATAGTCAAAAAAAACGTCTTTTTTGAACTTTTAGGTTAGAATACCTCGAAAATCTGATGTATTGGGTCCATTCTGAGGTCAAAGTTTGTTGGCCTGTGTAATAATAGTATTAGAAAAAAATAACTGTGATTCAAATGATCCCAACCTATAAATTAGAAATTACGGTTAAAATTATTTTAAATATCATAACATGAAGTTTGTCCCTATTAAGGCACTTTCACACCTTTTTGGCTGCCTGCAGGTTACCATGACAACGCATGAGAATGAGTGCGACAGAAAATTTAAAAATTTGAATATTCAAATTTTCTGTCTCACTCACACTCGTGCGTTGCCATGGTAACCTGCAGGCAGCCAAAAAGGTGTGAGAGTGCCTTTACTCAATTCGAAACCTAATTCAAATTGAATTCCAACAAAAATAACACCAATTTTTTTTATGTTTAAGAGAAACATCAAAATAGCCCCGGTCATTAACGGTAACATATATATTTATGATTCATTCAAACAGAAGTAAATGGAATTTAAATAATTTAGTAGCTTTTATATTTGGTTGACCCAATAAAGATTCGTTTGTTTGAAATAAATTTTATCTTTTTGATTACATGTAAATAAGAATGAGATGATGAAGAAGAAAAGTTTTATCGATGCCCTCGAGCGATATACATATATATATAATTTTTGTGACTATTTAGTGGAATTTAGGGGAACCCTTTTCGTCACCGCTCCTCTCACCCTATTGAAGAACGCGCCCCAGGGGTACACGAGTGAGAAATGATCGTCCGCTAATGCTAATGAATATCAGCTAAGAGTGTATACATATATATATATATATATATATATATATATATACGGTGGGGTGAAGGTGTTCGGGGTTTAGTTCCAGTTTTAGCTTGCGCGCTTATATGGCAATAGGGTCGTAATGGGTTGGAGGGTCGTAGGCTGCTTTTAAGAAGATTGCTGACGAGGGACCGTCGTTAATTAGCCAAAATTACACGATTTCCTGACCAATGCTATAACCGACACTTTGAACCCGAATCTCCTGTCACCTGATCATTAAACAGTGTGTGTGAGTGTATACTTATATATATATATACACTTTTTAACACAACCAATTATCCCTTCTCCAATTTCCATCGTAACTGTATATCTCTTTTGCTAAATCAAATGTTATTTGAGAGGCAAATAAAACTTATATTATACTTATTTTGCTAGCGATATACAAAGAATTAGAAAAATAATACTAAAAATTACTCACCTGTTTTGTTATCTCAATATTGAAGCCACAGGACATCTCGTAATACTGAAACAATAATTATGTTCTATTAATACATTATATTTTTTAATTATATATAGTATATATGAGAAATATAAAAGTAGAGAGTTTAATTTAGATTCTGGAATTTAGACTCTCTAACAAAAGTATTAATTTCAACCAATTTTTGAGGCTGAAATGATTGCAAAAAATTGTCCGTATTAAAAGTACAAAAAACATATGCCTTATAAGATCTGAACGTTCAAATGAATTAAAAATTAGTTTACTCTTTTTTAACTTCAAATTTCATTATAAAGTAATTGCTATAGTAATTTTTCAATAATTTATAGACCAAAAAACTAATTACGTTCATTTGAACTTTTAGAACTTCAGGTAAATCAAAAAACATCTAAAACATCAAATGTATTTTAAAATAAGTCATTTTTTGGCACTTTCAATACGACCAGTTTACAACGTTTATGATCAACGATTTTTAAAGAAATATTTTTATAAATTTTTTTTTTTAAATATATTTCTTGCAATGTCTGTTGATCAAAAAATTATGAAAAAAATATTTTTTTAGATACAAAATTTTTAATTTTTCCGTCTTGGAAAATAATTTGTTTTCGTTGATCGTTGATCATAAGCATTGTGTAAAGTGCTCTGCAGAAAAGGCTTTAAAAAGCAGAAAATTATAGCTTGTGTTTATGACAGTTTTACCTTTTATTAAAAATTAAATTTAATTCTTTTTAATTATGTAAAATTAAAATCAGTTTTTGGATGAATTGAAGACTTATAACATTAATTGTTTGTAATGAGAATTGTGTATTTTCATTCAAAACTATCACAAACATAATCTATAATTTTTGCTTCTTAGGTTCGCCTTTCTTCAGAACTCTTCACATATGTATTTTTCTCTAAAATGTTTCTCTCTAAAATAAGTACAGGATAAAATAATTAAAAGTAGATTGAATTAATAAGTGCAAGTAAGTAATTTATCTCTAATAAAATTAATACTGACATTCTTGTTAATTTCCTAAAAATAAAATTTTTTTTATCTCATTCAAAATAAGTGTAAACGTCATTTTCTATTCGTTAATATAACACAGCCACATAAAAAAAATAAAAAAATTCTGAACTATGAAGCAGTTTTCACAATGTGGATAAATTTAAGAGGTTAAAGGCAGAAGTTATATTCTGCGTCTGCGCAGAATGTTTGTATGCAGCTTCTGCGCAGAATATATCTACTGCCTTTAACCTCTCGGAAGATTAAATTTATCCACACGGTAAAAACGGCCTTTATGTTTACTATTGTTTTTGGCGTCGCTGAATCCAAATTCGATGAAAATTTAACATTAGATTGGGATTCTGACATAACCTCAAAAAAATGTGTTTCTAATGTGTTTTTTTGAAGTTATGGCAGAATTCTGAAGTGATGGGGATAAATGAGCTTCGGATTCGATTTCAGGAACCTCAAAAACATATTTTTGATTTTGAGGTTATGGCAGAATTCCGAAGTAATGGGGTTAAATGGGCCCCGGATTAGTATTCAGCAATAGTTTTTTGAGGTTATGTCAAAATCCTAATTTGATGGGGTTAAACAGACCTTGGATTCGGATTCAGCTACAAAAACATACAGTAAATTGTATACTCACTTAGACTCCCAAATTAGAACTTTTTTATTTTTTTATTTGTCTGTGTAATTTCTTCTACTCACCCAGGTGGACAAGTTGAAGGTAGTGACTACCGGTACCGATACCTGTACAGTCACTACCGATAGTTATTACCGGTAATTTTTCCGGGAATTACAACAAATTTTGGTTGCGATTTCCGGAAAAATTACCGGTAATAACTACCGGTAGCGATTACCGGTAGTGACTGTATAGGTAGCGGTACCGGTAGCTACTACCGGTAGTCACTACCGTGAACTTTTCCACCTGGACATACAAGTTTTTATAATAACCATCCGCATAACATATAAAACACGTGCCACATAAGTCAAACAAAGCAGAAAATCAACAGAAAAATTGGAATACTGTATGAAATTCTTAGATTTAAAAAAGAGAAATCAAAAAAATGAGAGAAAAGAAGGAGGGAGAAAGCGACTCAATCACCTTATCAAACACTGCAGAGAAATCTTCATTGAATAACTAAAAGAGTGGAATTATCAGCAGAGCAGCACAACCCCTTTCAATAACGCGCGTACTCTTATATTGAATTCCACTCGCCGAGGTATATTTGTAAAAAGATCTCGACATACCTATATATATATGTATATATTTACAAATTCAGATATACACAAATGATAATATAGACCAAAGTGAATCTTCAAACCAGCTCTGCATAGCTTGATACGTTTTCTATTCAATATTGTTTCTCTATATGATGCTTCGGCTTTTTCGGAATTTCAAACATAGTGCTTGTTCGATGATGCGGATGAAAAGGTAGCTAGAGAGAGCCTCATGCCAGAGGAAATTCAGGTTATAGTTTGTCAATGGGAATAAACAAATTTCAATGTAGTGTTTTGCCTGCTGCTACTGCTCCTGCAGTCTTCCAATTCATATATAGGTATAACTTCCAGGTTGAAATTTTATGATTCAATACTGGAAAATTGCTTCAAAATTTTTTTCACGATTCTGTGACAATTTTTGTCAAAAAAAAAAGTCTAGGAGTTATATTTTAACTACCAATGGGATTTTTTAAAAGTCGCACCTTTTTAGATTTGAAGCAAAGAAAGTGGTTGCTAAGGGTGTTAACTTTATACCTACATGGAAAAAATTTTGGTGCACCGGTTGTACTGGTTAGTTAAAAAATTTTTGTACTTTAAAAACGGACATCAGTTATCCCGGTTTGGTGCAACTTATGTCCCGTACAGTGCGTCTGATGTCCCTTACAGCGCTTCTGACGCGCCAAATCAGGATAACAGTTGCCCGCAACCCATAGTACAACAGTTCTACCGTAGATTGTGCATCTGATGCACCAAAAATTTTTCCGTGTAGGAAATTATCGCTAAGGGGGAATTAATCTAATGTTAACTTACATTTTTAGTTGATTTTTACCTCTAAAAATTTTATTCCCAACTCTGGTTGTCATTAATAACTCACTAAATGTTCCAGTGTATTTTTCAAGAACAAAAATTCAAATAGTTGAATTTTTAGGTTAGGAATCTTGTGAATTAACAAATAAAATACCAACTAAGAAACACAACTCTATATTGTAAAAAATTTCCTTAATGACAATCGGAGTTGGGAGTAAAAATTTTGGAATTTTATATCAACTCCAAAAGTGAGTAAATGTTAAATTAACTTCCTTAGAGTATTAATCGAAACTTTCCTAAAGATTTATTTGAAATGTTCGGAATATTTAATTGCAATGTTTAGTGAAAATTGTGTAAAGATTTAAATGTCCCGATTAAATAAATGTTTAGTGTGAAACTTTCCTGAACATTTATTCAAGTGCGGGACATTTAAATCTTTACACAATTTTCACTAAACATTGCAATTAAATATTCAGAACATTCCAAATAAATTTTTAGGAAAGTTTCGGTGCTGTGGGGGTAACTTCCTTAGCTTCAACTCCAAAAAAGGGTGGAACTTTTATAGAGTGTCAGTCAGGCAAGAATGTTTTTTAATTATTATTATTTTTATATCAAATTAGTGTTAGATTCGGTTAGAATGATAAAAAAATTCATAGTTTTGTTAACCAATCAGTAGTAAAATACAGTTGCAGACATAAAAATTTTCCTAATTCTTGTTCTTTTTTTTATATCAAGCAAGTAATAACAATAAAATTCAAGCATTTGAAAATTCTTTCACTTTAATGATCAAAGAAAGATTGAATTTTATTAAATTCTCCAAGGATGTCACATAAATTGCTTTTTTACTTTTAATAACGCACCTAGAGACATTTTTTTATCCCAACCAAATATATATATATATATAAAACGTATTTGAATTACATAAAAATATATATTAGTTTCAGAGCTGAAAAACTAAGTTTATTTTTAAACTTTCTATAAATCTGAATTATATTCACTTTTGACTAGGTTTGAAATTAAATGAATGAGTAACCGTTTTGACTAATTTGTAGTAAAAAATAACTATAACTGTTAGTAGAAAACTAATTCATTTAGTAAGGCAACTATTTCAATTAGTAAAGTTTAATAAATTAATTAATAATTTTCTATATCATCAATTAGTCATTTTTGACTAAAAATGAGTCAAAACAGTTACTAACTCATTTAAAAACGAATCAACGCAGTTCAATTAGTCAAAAGTGAAAAATTCAGATTTAGAGTAGGAAAATTGTATCAGAAATGTATATTTTTAGAATGATATATATTTATTTAGAAAATTCTAAAATTAGGAAAATAAAATTTAAAAAATCGGTAGGTAACCATTAATAAAATCAGTAAATTTGAAAATTAACATCAAATTAATAAAATTGGTGGATCAAATACCAACAAGTGTTTTTGTTTTTAATAAATGCTACTTTTTTCATTGTGTAAAAAAGTGTGTATAACATTTATATCGATGTAAAAAGAACTTGTTTTAAATTAAAATACCACTACGAATGTAAAAAAAAACCGTTGTCCCACCGATGCCTACACTTCTCTAAAAATAAAAATATTCTTCTACGTGCATCAGATTAAAATCAATTTAACTCAAGTTTAAAATAGAAAAACATATATAATCACATTACGAACAATGAGGAAATTCTAATTAAATTCATGTTAATTCTTGAACGTAGACTGCACTTGATCCCAAAATTAGAATATCGGAGATGTTTCATGTATATGAAAGATGTTATAGATAGATACTGTTTCTACAAGTATATTAGTTGCCGGTGGCTAACAAACCCTCAACATCTATTTCTCTATCCCCCTCTTGGCTGAATTCCCTCTCTCTAACCCTTCCCCTTTCCACAGTGCTACCCACTTTACGTCTGTCCCCGGGTTTGAATTCTCTCTCTCTTTCTCTTTCTCTCTCAGTCTCACTCAACGCTCTCTTCGTTTACTTTGGAGATATCGATTACCGGCTCAACTCCCA